TTTATCTAATAATATGCATTCAACTATTATGCAAACATTTATTAATTTTAATATCTCTCGTTTGTTTTCTTATTTTTAAAGTATTTTATAGTTTGAGTGTGGGTGAAGTGGATGAGATAGACGTACTTTAGAAATAAGTACAACACCTACCAACTCCTTACCCGCACCCACCATGAAAGATGGTCTACAAGTGAACCAAAAAAGCCTAGAACAATATTGATGTGTTTTTAGTTGTTGAATCGAAATAATTAAATATCTTCCACTTTGATGTCATGTTCCTAATATAATGTGTTCCTCAAATTTTTCATTTTAGATAAAAAAAACTTAACAGTTTGCTTTGATTTCTGCATTGGCAATTAAACCATCTTTAACAAGTTTAAATGACATCCTCCAACACCCTTCTAGAACCAATAGCTGTTATAGGTATAGCATCTGAATTAGCAGGCAGTGGCGTAAATAGGGGGGGGGGGGGGGGGGGGGGCAAAACCCCCCCCCCCCCCTGCTTCCGAAAACTAATAGGAAAAAGGGGTTTGCGCCCCCCCCTGCTTCTAGAAAATTCACTTTTTTTGACCATTAAAATAGAAAAATTAGGCTTACGCCCCCCCTGCTCCGACACCTGACTTACGCCCCTGTTAGCAGGTGATATTCATTGTGCAAATGATTTATGGTATACATTAAAAGAAAGTTAAGATGTTGGTAGCGCAACAACAATTGATCGATTTGATCTTAAATCATTTACTGCTCATATGCTTAATATGGATAATAATGGACAACTTCATCAAAAACTTCTTCGTGATGGTTATTTTATGTCAAATCAACAATGAGATAAATCTAAACCAAATTTTTTTGGTTTCGTCAGATGCTGAACCAGCCAATATTGATCTATGTCATAGATCACTTATATTAAAATTTGTTCATTTACTTGATGGTGATGGATACAGTGTTGAAAAAATGTCAGGTACAAAAACATCAATGTATACTGGATAATTTTCGACAGATCATGCAATTGCAGCAGCTCGTATGAGACCTGAACATCGAATCAAGATTTTATGGACCTAATAGTTTATTATATCATTTTAATTTACATGATCCAAATGTCTCATTAGATGTTGCTTGTTCATCTTCTTGAGAAACTTTACATATGACTGTGCAATGTCTCCGTACAAATGAAGCTGACATGGCTGTATGTGGTGGTGTTAATGGATTCTTACACCAGAAAGTTTTCTACAACATTCATTTATTGGTGCACAATCACCTGGTGGAAGAAGTCGATCATTTAGTGTTGATGCTAACAGGTATGCTAAAGGTAAAGAATTCAGCTGATTAGTCTTTTTTTTTTATTTAGAAATACATTTCAATTTGAATATTGTGTCTAAATGATGGCCTTGGTCTTTTATTATTAAAACAATTAAGTGATGCTGAACATGATGGCGATCCAACTGAAGCGAATTGTTTAGATTGATTTTTTAATCGATCAAATCTTGATCCACCATTATTATTAGATTTACTTAAAAGTAATTTAGGACATACAGAAGGTGCAGCTGATGTTGTATCACTTATTAAAGTTGCTATGTGTATGTATCATCGTGGTATTACAGCAAATATGCAATTTACTTCACTTAATCCAAAAATAGATTCACAAAAATATAATCTACATATTCTTCAAAATTTTATACTATTTCCATCCGTTTCAAATAATGAAAAAATAGCTATTGGTGTTAATTCATTCGAAACGAGTGTCACAACGACACATTCTATTATTGAAGAATATCAACCAATAAATAAAACATCAATTCAAAATGGTCATATCGATGATGGAAATCATATTAAAAGCAAACAATATTTTATTTTTATTTTTTCAAGTAAATTATTTTTTTCTTCTCATTTATTAAATAATTTATTTCTCTTATTCAGCAAAAAATCGTCAATATCTTAACGATCACTTAATGATATAGATCATAATGATGATCAAGCTTTTCTTCAACGTATATCTCAACAACTTCTTCTCAAAAGAACTATTAGTTATCAACATTCAGCAATCTTTGTTTTTCTCAGTCATCAACAATTACAAGAACAAATCGATGCTTTTCTTACTGAACAGATATCACCAGGCCTTTCAATCATATCACGTCCAACAAAATCATTAGCACAGAAAATATGTTTTGTTTTTAGTGGTCAAGGTCCACAATGGTGGGCTATGGGTAGACAATTATATGAAAGTGAACCTTTATTTAGTAAATGGATTAATTTAATTGATGGAGAAATGACAAAAATTAACAATGGTGAATGGAGATTATTAGAAGAATTAATTGAAAAGAAAAATGAACAAGAGTCTCGTATTAATGATACAAATATTGCTCAACCAACATTATTTGCTAT